GAGGAGTTCCCTGTTAGTTTTTCCGGTCTTATCTCTGAGATAGGGGAGTCAGTCTACTGCCTGCTTGGAAGTGTTCAGATCATACATTTCTATCTCTCTTTTTACAAACCTTTTCTAACCAGAACTGGTGTTTGTGGTTGATTGCGCATGCCAGAGCGTGAGGACTAGTTCGCGACTCGCCTTGAGTCGGTGTAGACTGCATAGTCTAGTAGTAGTTCCACTACACCTTTCATACCAATACTTTTCAAGTCGAATACAATGGTGATTAAAGGGGAAGTTAAGGCAAAAATTAAAATCTCACCAGTTGTAGTCTTCGGGGTGCTGAGTCGAATGGTCTTGGTCCGAGAAAGCTGAGACGCTCCTTTCCTACTTGAATCCCAATCGAACTCGCGCACTTCCACCAAAACTGGGTGACTGCGCCCTACTAGATGGGGATTTGTATGCAAAATGTCACTAAAAGCGCCATTTCGTTCTTATAAAAGCACGGATGACCGCGATTGGCCCATATGTTGTAGTCTTTTGGACGCTGAGTCAACTGATTTTGGTCCGGAAAGGCTGCGATGCAGCGTTCCTCCTTTATTCCCAATCGAACATGGTTGAACAAGTGGTCACGTGCTCCTGGGTGCCCAAATCACCTGGTCACCACGCCAGCAGGCGACAACTTTCACACCAAGGTTCAACTCGAGTTCAACTCGAGTGACAGGACTGCACCCAAAAAAGGTCAAACAGGCTAGTAAGTTGTACCCTGCAGGCACGGTGACCAGCTGACTGGTGTACGCAGGAGCACGTGACCGCTTGTTCAACCATGTTCGATTGGGAATAAAGGAGGAACGCTGCATCGCAGCCTTTTCGGACCAAAACAGTCGACTCAGCGTCCAAAAGACTACAACATATGGGCCAATCGCGGTCATCCGTGCTTTTATAAGAATGAAATGGCGCTTTTAGTGACATTTGCATACAAATCCCATCTAGTAGGGCGCAGTCACCCAGTTTCGGGAAGTGCGCGAGTTCGATTGGGATTCAAGTAGGAAGGGAGCGTCTCAGCTTTCTCAGACCAAGACCATTCGACTCAGCACCCCGAAGACTACAACTGGTGAAATTTTAATTTTTGCCTTAACTTCCCCTTTAACCTCTTCAGCACGGCAGGGGTTTGTACCTGGCCCGCGGGCCGTTTTTCATTAAATTTCACTTTTTTCTAAAATTCGATTCTAGCTTGTGAATTTCACCTAACAATGTGCATTTATCATTGTGATGACTTATTTCAGCAGTAAAGTCGGTGTGAACATACCCTATTGCACAGATTTCAATGCAAATCAGCGCAGCAAATTTACGTATTTCCAGCACATCTATAAAAGTAGGACAGCTATTACAGGGTTTACTGCATGCAGTATCGCTTCTAGCTACAGGTATCAACAACTGCTAGTCAGAATGATAAAATATATAATGTATACTCATGGTTCACCCTCTATATGTACATATTTACATCGGTTTAGGACACGCTACATGTCCGCAAACTCGAACAAATTTGCGTTTAGGAACCACTCGGCAATTGTGGAACAGCTACTTTCCTCGGTGCGATGTCTCGAAGCACTCAAGGCAATACCCTGGGTTCTTCGGGCAATCAGCACACATCTGCCGCACATCTCGGCGTTTCCCGTTGGCATAGCAGAACACACACATCTTCTGCGGCTTCTCCTTCTTGGCAGTCGCTGGGATGAGCCGTAGAAAGTGAGTGTCGAGTGGCTTTGCGGTACCGGCTGCAGCAGCCACAGCTGTGGTGTGCTCTGTGATCTCCAACTTGCCCTCTGCTATCAAACTCTTGATGGCTGCCTTCACGAAGTCATAATGCGACATCTTCACCTTCATCTTGTGCAGATAGTATGCGTTTAGCAGGGCCTGCTCCATCAGGTGCGTGGCCAGTTTTTTATACCATTTTCTGGTTTTTCCGAGCAGCAGTGTACACCGAAATCATCCCGTCGTTTTTGTCCACACCACCCATCTTCTTATTGTAATCCTGCACCAAATCAAGCTTCCGTACTGGCCGGCGCTGGAGATCGCGCTTGCCAGTTGCACTGACCGTGGCTGTGTGGAGCGTGGAGAGGAAATGTACCTCTTTCGTGTCATGTAGCTTGATGAAAATCATGCCACCGCCACAGCGATACAGGAACTGGCCTTTCTGGAGGCCCTTGTGCTTTGCCACCTGCTTTGGAAGGCCAGTCCTGTTCTTGCGAACAGTGCCGCAGACGCCGGTGTTGTGCTCAGCCAAGTGAGTAGCGAGTGGCACGCTGGAGTACCAGTTTTCGAGGAAGAGCTTGTAGCCCTTGCCGAGTAGCGGGTCCATCAGCTTGTCGACAACGGCACCAGGCACTCCAAGCTTCTTCACCGTGTCCGGGCTGAAAGTGTCGTTGTCTTTGCCCGTGTAAATGATAAAATTGTGGAGATAACCGCTGTCCTCACACAGGGCGTATATCTTCATTCCGAACCGTGCTCGTTTCGATGGAATGTACTGGCGGAATGAAATACGGCCCTTCCATGCCACCAGCTCCTCGTCAATGCACACCCACTCCTTCGGCACATACACTTGCTGAAAACGGTTTTGGAGGAAAGTCACCAAGGGCCGGATCTTGGTCAATTTGTCAGATTCGTCAACTTCATCGTTGTTGGCAAAGTGAAGGAAATTGAGAATTGATGTAAAACGCTCGCGGCTCATGGTGCGGTTGTAGAATGGTGTGGCTATCACAGGGTCAGTTGCCCAGTACTGGTCAATCTCCGGCTTGTTGACAATGCCCATGTTGAGGTAGAGTCCCAGGAAAACTTTCATCTCTCCAACAACAACTGGCTTCCACGAGCGGGCAAAACTGCGAGCCGGCAGAGTATGTAGGTTGGCATCGATAAATGCGCGTGCATAGCGATTGGTTTCCGTCACAAGATACTCAAAGAAATCTTCGTTGAAGAACAATTTCAGGTAGTCAAGTGGAGTTGGATCGTCTGGAAGCGGCATTTGGAGACCGGAGTTGCCAGTGAATGGCAGTGCGGTAGGTGCAATACTCTGCTTCACCCATATGCCTGGATGCATGTAATCACAATGTGCAGAAAATGTGTATTTCAGTATCAATTCACATATCTGTTGCATATTTATTTGTACTTCAGTACTTGGTGTCCATAACATCAACAGTGACATGCTAGAACGGGCACAAAATATCTGCAATTCAAAATACCACTAAGTTAGCCCACCTTTGCAAAAATATAGTCAACAGCATGCAACAATGCATGAATATTTGAAATTTCAAAATTCAAAATTAGTGAAATTTTCAAATTGTAAATGCACCCAACTCACCTTCGCTTCCATCGTCACCTGCAGCTAGAACCTCGACAGCTTCCACATGCGACTTCAAGGACATGGCCTCGTCGCCAGCACTGGTGTCCTCCGTACCACCTGTTGCTGCTGCTTCCGTGCTCTCCATCCCCTCAACATCGTCAGCAGCATCACCAATTTCTGGCGACGCACTTCGTTCAGGAGATGAAGACACAGACTCATCTGCCGAAGAAAAATCGCTCTCAGAGACAGTTGGCTCATTATCGCTATCCAAACTCAGCGTGACCTGCTCTAAAACTTGGTCGATCTCCTCTGCGCTGTATCTACGTCGTGCCATGGTTGAAAATGTCAACAAATTGTCAACAAATTTATTTCTGATTTATTTCCGCACTGCGCGACCTACTCTTGCCGTGATACGTGGCGAACTCCACGTGTACTTGTCGTGATACGTCTCCTGAACAGGCCTAGCTCCGCGTGACCACGGTACAGGCCTGGTACTACTACACGGAAGCCAAAACAACTGTACGACGTGATGTAGATCGTATCACGTATATGTACGTGATCCGTGGACCGGTAGCATCCAGGATCACGTACATTTACGTGATGCGTGCTAAAGAGGTTAACAAGGTAGCAAGCAAGTCCCAGTAACCAAGAAAATATCAAGAAGCAATCAATAGAACTGCAATCCACATCATCACGACAGTATTGTTACCTTCACCCAGGAGACTCCCTTTGATAGGCATCCATTTGCCTGTGGAGAATCCTTGAAAATATAAATATCAATAATATTGTTCTTACTGGACGGCACTGTAGACACTGCTCTGCTCCAGGGCTTGGGGCCCGCTCTGCTGTACGAACCAGACCGACCGAAGGATACCCAGGCGACTGGACAGTGACAGGAATGCCAACTGAGCCTCGCTATCCAGCGTAGGTGATGGCTTGCGAACCGCCTACGGTTAGATACAATGGACGACAGAAGTCATACTGCTGAAATCCTCCATCAATATTCACCCGCACAGTAGTCTGTATTGGGGAAACTTGAATCTACGTGGCAACGATACAAGAATTAGATAGTGCACGCAAAACGTCTTAGGGATGTGGCTTTGATCTTTTGCTTGTTATCGGGACTAACTGTTGCATCTATCTCAGTTGTGTATATGCTGCAGATCATGGTTGTATGCCGGCAATAAATCATTCCGAGTAGCTAACAGACTTTGCTATGTATATCGCACAAAGCCGACACGAGTACACAATCATTATGCAAAGGAGTATGAGAACCATAGGACTCAGTACTACGTATGCAGAGTTGGTCAGCAGCATACGAGTACAGCCTACCTTGCCCTTAGGCTTCGTGTCAGCTGTAGACGTCCTGGACATGGATGATGCAGATTTCTTGAGAGATGCGGAGGATGCTTTGAGCGACGCCGAAGAGGACAGCAGCATGGATGTCCGGCCTGGTCAGCACTGCTGTCTGCAAGACTCTGCTCAGCTGCTGCTGCCGCTGCTGCTGTTGCGTCTTGGCAAGCCTCGTTTTGTAGCAAAGTCATCTCGCATAACACGCCGTGTGTTATATTACTGTGCACAAAACATATAATTCACAACACGAAAAAAACGTCTCAGCCGTGTATGCACCGTGCATACAGTGTGTGTGTGTGTGTGTGTCCCATTTTTTTCTTCTCGTTCTCAGACTCTTCCTGACTTTTCTTTCATTCTCCTGGGTGGTTACCAACAGCCAGTGCATGCCGGAGTATGTGGTGTGATGTGTGTGCGGGAAAATAAAAATGAAAAGACCAAAAATAGGGATTCACTGGCCAGAAAAATGTCACTCCAAATAGCTGTATGGTGTAGACCAGGCTGAATAGTGACGGTCAATTCTTCAGCCTTGCAAGCTGTTGAATGGTGTAATCCCAGCACAAGTTGCTATGGCTTCTGCCGTAGCATTGCTATCATCGCCTCCAGCGATGGGCGTCAACGGTCAAGGTCAAAGGTGTCCCATATGGTGCAGTGGTATGTGCAGCGATTTCCAATCGATAGGTTGCGGGTTCGATTCCCGACGATTATGGTCACACACGTCTTTCTTCTCTTTCTCAGACTCATCCTCACTTTTCTTTCATTCTCCTGGGTGGTTACCAACCGCCAGTGCATGCCGGAGTTTGTGGTGTGATGTGTGTGCGTGAAAAAAATGAAAAAGACCAAAAGTAGGGATTCACTGGCCAGAAAAAGCCACTTCATAGCTGTGTGGTGTAGACCAGGCTGAAAAGTGGTGGTCAAGTCTTCAGCCTTGCAAGCTGTTCAATGGTGCAATCCCAGCACAAGCTGCTATGGCTTCTGCTGTAGCATCGCTATCATCGCCTCCGGCGATGGGCGTCCAATGGTCCAATGGTGTGTGTGTGTGTGTGTGGTGTGTGTGTGTGTGGTGTGTGTGGTGTGTGTGGTGTGTGTGGTGTGTGTGTGGTGTGTGTGTGTGTGTGTGTGTGTGTGTGTGTGTGTGTGTGTGTGTGTGTGTGTGTGTGTGTGTGTGTGTGTGTGTGTGTGTGTGTGCGTGCGTGTGTGTGTGTGTGTGTGTGTGTGTGGTGTGTGTGTGTGTGTGTGTGTGTGTGTGTGTGTGTGTGTGTGTGTGTGTGTGTGTGTGTGTGTGTGTGTGTGTGTGTACCCTGATGCCGTCAATCCTTTTCTGCACCTTGTCCTCACCCACTTACTGAGGTGTGGTGAGCCCATAAGTGGGATCATTTCAAGTCCACCCTAGTTTGGGGATTTCAGGGGGTGTCGGTCGTTGGGTGGTTCAATGGCCAATTGAGTCATCTTTCCAAGATTCCTTTTGAGTCTCTCTCCCCTCTCCCGGGGAGACCCACGTGACCAGTTTTGGCAGTGAGCAACAAGTACAAGTGTGTGTGTGTGTGTGTGTGTGTGTGTGTGTGTGTGTATGTGTGTGTGTGTGTGTGCATGCGTGTGGTCATCTGACACAGCCGTGCACACAACTTACAGCTGTTCATTGTGCAAACAGCAGAACATGGCGATGCATTGCTTCGACAGCTCAGTCGGCGGAGATAGGCAATGCGGATATGGTCCACGGCTGTAAGCAAGCAAACAAACAAAAAAATGAGCGACATGCCCTGAACAAAGAACTGGGACTGAGGCGCATGAAAGTTCGAAGTAAAGAAAGGGAGGCAGATATGCCAAGCCATTTAGTCCCTCCAAATCTAAACCCCTAAACATCCACATCTTTATATCCACAAACCAGTTTAATACTTCGGTTGTGGTACATGGTTCGCAAGAGTAAAATTCGTGGTTGAAATGCCTATGAACTTAACCAAGGAAGCAGCTTCACTGAAACTAACTTCACTGGGATGCTCCGACAGGCAGACACACAGAATACCTGGAAGGTAGAGTATGATCACATACTCTGGCTTTGTATTCACTTTGCAATATTTAATGTGATCGGATTCTAGATGTTCATAAGTTTGAGGGAGGTGCAAAGGTACCTAGGCATTCTGACGTGACTGGCAACTTCCTTTCACCTGTAGCAGGCAAGATACTCACTCAGATGTAAACTTTGCCAAGGGCATCAACCGAGCAGCTTTCTTCTTCATGACATGAAGTGGTTGTGGTACAGGACGGCCGTTCCAGTGGAATTGACAAGCACTGTATCTATGCACAGGTTAAAGATAGCCATGTATTGAAGCACACCATTATAAGACGTGGTGTGCATGGAGTGGCATTACACGAAACGGCTTTTCACTTATTTGAAGCCTAGCAATGATGTCATAATGATGTCACTGCAGTAGTATTGTCCTTTGACAGCACAGTTATACAGTACATGCATCTTGATTTTTAAATGTGCTGGAACATGTTGCAAGGTTTAATTCACAGCAGACATATTTCTTGACGCAATGCTTTGCATAACACACTTCAGTACACCGTCAGACAATCAGCAATTGGTATACATGTACCTGCTGACGTTGGCGATGATGTCCAAGCACTGGCGAGACTTGGCTTGGACAATCTGCAGTCCAACCAGAAACAGCAAACGACCTCAGAAACAAGTTAGCACTTTGAACATATTTATTTCAGATGACGCAGCACACAGGCCACTCCTCTGGCTCTTGGACCAGGGGTGGTTGGAGAGCTCTTTCTTTCAAGAAAATCATCATAGAGGATATAAGCGTAGCATAGTTCATATCAACATAGAGGAAACTAGCATTGCATACTTCATATCAACATAGCAGAAGTTGGTTGCTCCTATACGGACGCGGGGGGGGGGGGGGGGGGTTCTAAGTTCAACATAGAGTGTATCAGCAAAACACACTTCATATCAACAAAAATGATACTAGAATGGTATATAGTAAAACCTGGTGTAAGTGGCCTCCGGGTTTAGCGACCACCTGCTCTTAACGACCGTCTTTCCATGCACCGACAGTTCTACACACACACTGTGGGACCTGGTTCTAAAGACCACCTGGCTTTAACGACCGCTTTTGCTTGGACCGTGGGTTGGCCGCTTAAACCAGGTTTTACTGTTCTTCATATCAACATAGTGGATACTAGAATGACATACTTCATACAGTGTATCACCATACCTGTGCTCCCTGCTCATCGCCCATGTCCAGGAATGTCGTGGGCAGGATATCCCGGACGACCACTAGCAACTGGCGATAGCGTACCTCCCGCACGCTTTCCAAGTACTCGGCCACCTGGACAGGATCCGTCGGGCACTCAAGCTTCTGTATGGCCTTGCGCAGTTCTTGAAGCTCACTTGCTGTACACCGAACACGACCACATGTGCATCCATGCATGTGAAAATAAGCGCACGCGAGAAGACATGCTGCGCAACCAGAAAAGGGTCCTACCATATTCTCCAAAACAATCCGGCCAATGCTGCACATGTGGTAGTCGACCACCATGTGCAGCAATGGCCGGATTAGTTTGGCAAATATCGTAGCTGTTCTTTGCTGAATCTTTGGCCACAAGCCCTGAAAGGGATCACATCTGGACATCATACTTAGCAAATTGACTACATGGGTTAATGAATGAAGTCAGCTAAAATCCCTCCTCCCCCATTTCCCTAAGAATCACACAATCCACAGATATTCTCAAGACTGTTTCACCTGTGCCAGCCCCTCCTAACATTCCTTTAGAAAGTTATAGAAACACATCATCCACCTCTGTTCTCAAGCTGACTCACTTATCCGTTCCAGGCCACCCCAGTCAGCACTAAGCCCGGTAGAGTACGCATTCAGAATTGGAGGAGAGTCTTGTCGTCGCCGTACCCGACCTCCTCCGCTGCCTCCACTGCCTCCACTTGCTTGCAGTATAGGACAGTTGAGTTTCGCACGGGCACAGATAATACTGCAGATGTCATGTAGACATGTGAGAAGTCTCTGCAGATGATAACAACACAATAATGCATAGGTAGAAGTTACACCGGTGTGACCGTGGTGACATTGCACAATAAGCAACACACACAGCTGACCTGCACAGGCTGCTTACCAGTGCAGAGTTTAAAGCTGGCATTGCCTCATCCAAGTCCAGTGAGCGGAACATTGCCAGAGCCTGGGGAGGGCAGAGGAACGGACGACAGCCAGTCAAGACATGACAGAGTAAGCAATACTAGCAAGAATGCCTAGCCGATGATCAGACTGCAGTACAGACAGTGTTATCATCATTGTTATCATGCGAAGAGCTAAGTCGCGCTCACCTCCAGTGGATGGGGTAAGAAGAACAAGTTCATCAAATGCTTGCCATCCACAGTCATGAAAGCTCTTGCGCGAGATCGTCCAGCCCTGAGACGACGAATACAGAATGTATGATGAAAGTTGAATAACATTACAGCTCACAAGGATCAATCCATACCTCTTTCAGTTCACTGTGAACACATAATTCTAACTACATGCCTAGTCAGGACAGGCACGGCGGGGGGGGGGGGGGGGGGGGGGGGAGAGGGGGAGGGTACAAGAGCTTGCACACTCTTTTGTAGGTTGTAGATTGTCACTTTCTTCATGCAGCCTGCAACCAGTGCTGGAGTAAATATGTACATGGTCTGCTGCTGTTGCTGGTGATGGTGGCAGTGGCGGCGGTGTGGTGATGGTATTGCGAAAGGTACTGGAACTCCCCTGGCAACACTTTATGGACTACACTTATATTTATCCATGATCTATGGCATGGTATTGTTGTAGAAAGTAAGAGGTGAGTTACCTACCGAAAGCTGGGCTCAAATACTGGTATGCCATGGCTGGGAGTCTGTTCGCCTGACTCTGCAGTCGTGGCACTCTGCGGACGCTTGCCAGTTCCGCTTTTGTAATCAGTGTCCTGACCTATCTCAAATACAGCATCTCTGCAAGCACAGGCAAACAGCAACATACAACACATGGCATGAAAAGAGGATTTTAAAGAACGAGAAAATAAGTAATCCGTTACCTCCCCCTTCTGCTCCCTCGCCCATAGGGGATTTACCTTTCAAAAAATTCATCCTGCATCAGCTGTGCATAGCTATTTGTATGCATTTGCTTAGCACAAGCATGCATAGCTACTTCTATTGTATATTGTATGTTAAATTGTTAACACTCTGAAAACGGCCGAGTGTCGCTTGTTCCTATTCTCCAAGCCCCTTAGCCTCCTTTCCTCACCACCAGCGTGATCCTCTGCCTAAACAAACACCTAGCAACTACACTTCCTTTGAAGAGCTGCAAAATACTCAGATCTGCTGACTCTCACTCACCGAGTTCCGGGGAAATCCCTCAGCAGTTGATGCAGGCTGAACATGCAACTTGAAAGCTGAGAACACATCAGGCAATGCAATACAGACACACAAAGCTAATGGGGTGCACCAGCTGTCTGTCAACAAACCCAGCGACATGCCGCACGGCTCTACACATGCATGTAGCTTCTTCCACTGCTCAGACAGTGTCCAATACCTCATGCACACTCCACCGTAGACCAGTACAGTGCTACAAGTTATCAAATACATTCACATTTAACTTGATTTAGTGCATTACCACATGTACATGTACAAGACCCCGTGGGTATTCAGAGGCAGATGAAAGTCCAAAAAAATGCACCTTGTTTCATGCAATCAATGTGAGCGGAAAACAAACCAGCAACAGAGCACGCAGAGCACAGTATATGATGTCAAGACTCCAGATCGGCGGAGGGCTACACAACTCGCCATTACTGAGCTCCCATTTGCAATTTTTTGTCTTTTCCTGCGAGCTGTGATCATAGTGAAATAAAATTAAATATAATATCAATATCAATTTTCCCACCTGTATACGCAGGGCCTGCGGTGCCAACAGGCTGCCAAGCTTCTCAAAGTACTGCACCAGTGTCACGCGCTTCACTTTCACGTTCTCCTGTGGTGACTGCAGTTTGCTGCTAATCCCGGGCTGGGTCAGGAGCTCATGGAGCACCATATCACGAGAAGCCGCCTGCAGAAATACAGAATAGAAGAAAAGCAGGAATGACCTGACCACCTGGCCGATAGGATGGAATACAGAATAGAAGAAAAGTAGGAATGACGTGACCACCAATAGGATAAGCCGGTGCACAATAGACAAACCCGACAGTGCAGTATTATTCATAGCCCAGTGCAGCTCTTCAGTTGACAATATGTTTGTCAAGTAATCATTTCCATACATGGAGTACATGTAGCACACCAAATGAATCCTCAGTAATACTCTACTTTGATTTAATGAATGTGAGGAACGGGGTCATGCAAGACTTGCTGTAGTAAACCAGATGCTTCCACAAAGACCAATCATGGAAACTGGGATACGCGGCTGTTCGTACCTTGTGCAACTGCAGCGAAACAAACATGTCGGTGAGTTTCTGCACAAGGTCCAGGCCAATGACAAGCTGCGCTGAGCTGACACGAGGCTTGCCACTGGTCAACGCTGCCAACGATGATCCACTATCGACAGCTCTGTGAGGAAACAATCATGAGTGACGGTGAGTGCATTGATAAAGGTGATAAACACAACCAACAGCTAACTATTACTTCACTAGTTGAGGGAAAGAGACAAACGGGAAAAGTCTGAAGAAAAATTTGACTGTCACCACCAGGACTCGAACCAGGGCCCTTCGCTAACAAACTATTATGAGATGATCAAAGCACTCTGTGATACAGCAATGATATGTCTGGACTCGGATCATAGGCGATGCATCACAATGATCACAATGAAGATGTGCAGAATACGAGCATGCGGTCAACATACGCTTCCACGTGCTCCAGTGATGCCGACGTCTTGTGTATCTGACAACAGGCCCGTGTGTGCAGGACACCAATGATGAGAGCGTTCTTCTGCGCGACCTGGATAGTGCGTAGCAGGAATGAAATACAGTCTGAGGAGAATGTTGTCTCTACTGGGATAATGACTACACCGTAGATTAGCAACGAGTCAATTGTCTTCAGACCAGCTCCCTTTTTTACTCCCTCAAACCGATCACTAAATGAAAACCACACGACTTAGAGAGAGAGAGAGCCTGTAAACCTGTTGCTGTGAGTTGCAAACTCTAACCGACAGGAAAGGATGGCGGGAATGTCCTAGATAAGTACAGGTACGTACTTAGTATTGCCCTGAGCATTCATATACTCTGGTCGGAAGACTCTAACATATGTGGAGGCACAAAACCAAACAGCACTGGATTTACAACATCCCCCAAATACAAGATGTGCCTTCACGCTAAGACATACGGCATACCTGAGCATAGAGGATAGCTCGGAAGGTCTCCAGGCTGCTTGCAGACAGCATCTGCGCGATAAGAGAAAACAGGTTTCAGAACAGAGCAACTAGCCTGTAAACCTTACAGGAGAGAAATTGAGTTAGGTGAGGGTATCCACAAATGCACCCTGCACAAGGAAACTGACGTAAGCAAAATAAACCGGTCCAATACAACAGTGAAATCCTGCATACTCGCCAGCGCAACTGGCAGTCATTCGCTGCAGACCAACAGGTTCTGTGTTTACCTTGATAACGTCTTCCTTAGTGCTCAGCTGCAGTGCGAACACTTTATCATCAATCTCATGAGCTGCTAGAGGCACGCTGACTGGAATGTACCTATGGCGTCGACACAAGTGTAGGCCAAGATTTTAAAAACATAGCCACGAAAGCAAAAGCAAATGTCAATCACTGCAGGTCATCATTTCATCAGACCATTAGCCAAGTCACTACCTGTGCTGTGCATCCAGATATCAATCAAACTGCATGCTTGTCCATCAGCTTGATAGGAACATGACTAATCTCATGCATTTGAATACACACGATAAGCCTTAAATCATGATACTAGTATTTGATACACATAATGTGCTACACATTTTAGACATAAGGAGCTGTGGGCTATGTAGCAATTTTCCAGCAAAGTTGATTACACGGGACGAGAAATTTAAACAATCGTCGAGGAGACAGTAAGCGTAAAATGGCAATGAATAAGACAAATTGTGCAGTCATAACAATGTAAAGGATATTCTAAATTTACTAATTTCCAAGACGTTCTCGCGTGACAATACACCTACAAACATAATGCTTTTGAAGCACATTATTCAGATATTCCGTCTCATCGCGATTGTATCTCCGTTTAAGATACAGTCGACCTACCCTTATAACGATAACCTCTATAACGATCATATTACCCTTATAACGATATTTTTCTGCCAAACCAAATCACTCCATTGACTTTTGTATACAATGCCCTACCCTTATAACAATATTGCTATAACGATATTACCCCTATAACGATATAAAATGGGCTGACCAATCAACATTTTCCATTTTCTAATAATATCTAGCAGGGAAGATGTAGAGCCCACTATCCAGGTAGGGCAAGCTTCACTTGATAAGTCGCTGGGACATGACGAAATACAGTGGGGGTACCAGTGGGCACCTTGCTGTGTACATGATGTGCATGTATATCAGTTTTTTATGCTATGAAGAGTGTAAAAAATGAACAAAATCCATGCATTATGACGTATGTGTATGAAATGAACCAGTTACCCCTATAACAATATTACCCTTATAACAATATTTCTTGGTCTGACGCAAATATCGTTATAAGGGTAGGTCGACTGTATTTTAAACAATCGTCGAGGAGACGGTAAGACAGTAAACAAGTAACAAGAAGTGCAGAATATGTGTATCATGCCAGCACAACAACTCCTGCTTGGAAGCAGCAGCCCGGCTTCCCCGCACAGCTTACTGATCAAACATGTCCTTGCCCTCTGTTGTGATGCTGGTGAGAAAGAGAGGCTTCAGGATAGTGCCGGGGTTGGATGCGGCAACATCTATGCTTGCCATCCGCATGAATGCATGCATTTGGCCAAAGCCGAGTGGATCGGACAGCAGGTGATACCCCTGGAAAAGAGCACATAAGGATATGAAGGAAGGGATCAAGAAGGGCATGAAAGTGGCAGCAGTAGATTACGGAAAGAGGCAGAAATTCACCATTGGGTCTCACAAGCAGCTCCTTGCCTAGTCTTCAGCACACCAGGAAATGAGTGAAGTAAGTTATTATGCTAGAACGCCTGGTTTCATGCAAAGGCAATCAAAACCCAACAATAGCAACATTGTACAAGTCCTGAGTACATTTCTATAAATAACTACTAGTATGACCAAAGACCAAGGTATAGTCCTTCAGAAATCCCCCTGGGCTACGTTGCTTGTACTTGGCTACTGGCACTTGTTCTGGTGTCTGCATACAAAACAAATTCTAGTTACCAAGAGGGAAGTATGGTTCATAAACTACTATAGAGAATACCCTGAAATGCGATCGTGCGTGATTCACCCACCCCACCCTTTCCCCTTTGCAAGTCCTGAACTGAGCATTTCTCCGTCAGCAAAGGGCAATTTTCATGGGCATGGTGGGTGTAGGGAAGTCTTGCTGGATTAGCTACCTTCAGTAATTGGGAGGACTCCAAACAGGCATCAGCCAGTCGATGATACGAAGAAACAAACTGCAGCCAGAAGAGCAAAACCGTGAATATCATCAGAGTTAGCAACAGTCATCCATGAAACGATTTTATCCTCCACTAAAATACCTCTTCGAAGTGACAATACTGCTACTAGTTGCTCTAGAACAAGTATGAGCAAGAGTTTTACCGTATAACTACACAATAAAGTCCTCCGGTCAGGGTCATAACAGTGAAAGTTCAATTCAGAATTGTGAAGAACTGTAGCTCGTCTTACGTGCAGAACATCGCAATAAGCTGACGCCACCGCCTTCTTCAGCTCAGCTGGGTCGGAGGAATCGCCGCCCACTGCTTTTACTGCAACCTTCTTTTGCTGGGGAATGAGCGAGGTGACGAACAGCGGATTCTCCATCAGAGGGTTCTGGAAGAGCTGCACGAGCACAAATTACATAGGAGAGAAAGAGGGAGGGGGTTTGAAGTAGAAACGGCTAAGGTGCTACTGCAGTGACCAGCCTAGTGTACAGTGGACAGGCTGGTAAGGTGATGGTGGACAGTGGAGCTGGTACAGTGGCTAGACATGAGGCCACCTCTGGTGAGTGGTGATGTTGGAGCAGCTCATGGGCCGGTGTGCAGATGCCGTCAATAACACGAAGTCAAGACGCAATCCACACATATACACCCACCAGCAACAGTTCATTGACTACCAATCACACTGCTGCAGGAACACGTTTGATGAAACTGCATAAACAATGGTGCTGACTTCCACAAAGTAGGTATGAAAGACCATGCTGCAGTACTATCTGGTGTACTAACCGCCTGTCGGACCTCAGAACTGTACGCCTGGATGAGACTGTTCGATTCACCCAGCTTACGTACAGCCAGCTGCATATGGTATGGGTAGCAAGAAAGGAAAACATAAAACAACAGCTGACGTTCTGAAAGTACAGTAAAACCTGTCAATGCGACCACTCGGGTAGGGCGACCACCTGTCTTAAAAGATCACTGAAGCCAGGACCAAGGGATGCTTTTCGCAGTCAAATGACCCTGCACGAGGAGACCACCTGGTAACAGAGACCACCTGGTAACAGAGACCACCTAGTAAAAGAGACCACCTGGTAACAGAGACCACGTTTTGAAGGTCCCTTGGACGGTCGTCTTAGACAGGTTTCACTGTAATGACCATGCGTGTAATAAAAGTGTACTTCTTTTCACAACTGCCTGTTGTCTGCACCCGTACCTATCCTCATACACTACAGACACAGTGGTACTTGTGGTCAATGGTATTGCACAAAGCCGAATACATGCTTGCTATTCTGTTTGAACAAAATGCAAAAAGGCCGGAGTTTGTCGCCGGTCACAAACTGACACAGTAGAATACCTCATGTCCCACAAACTAATTAAGGCATAGGTACAGAGAGCTCTTCAAAGAACTAGATGGTAAAGCGATGGTTGCAGCAACTCAGCTCATTGCAACCCAAAAACAGCACACCATAGACCAACCTTGGTAGGAACACCGGAAAAAATCATATCAGTATCAAGCCCGACAGCACATCGGTTCACACATCGTGACACGTACAACAGCAGGCACAACGGCGGAGGAATGTCTTTACCTGGAAAGTGGCATGACAGCTACGCAAGACATTGTGAGTGCCGACTTTGCCCATCTGGAAAAACGTCCACTGATACCGGAAACAGGAGCACAGAAGAAGACGGACACAGAGTGTTATTCCTCCAAAACAAAATATTAGACACATTTGGCCGAGGCAATAATCTGTCCACTCGCACAAGCCTAAGCAAGTGCACTTCAAAACAAACCCATCCAGAAGGGAGACTTGGACAATTTGTCTTACATTTGCCGCATGTCTGAGGGCAGCAGGAAGACGACTGGCAACGCACAACGATGGGTGGAACTCCAACAAGAACACTTGGCCCAGTGCACTGGCAGCAGGTGAGAGGAAGAGAGAGAAAGAATTAGTTTACACAAAAAATAACTGAACTCAAACTTACTAAGAGTAGCTAAAGAGCCATGCCTGATTAGGCACAATTGCCATCAAAATTTGTTCACGGAGTGTAACTGTATAATATCTCTACTGTGAGACTACATTCATGGTTAGCAGCGATATCCTAAAATGCTCCTCACTAGTGTGAGAGCAAGCCCCCAGTTGTAGAGGGTCAGTGCTCTTTGGACAGTGGGATATCCTTGTCAGCTTGTCTATATCTAACCCAAGCAGAGCACACACCTACATACACCACCTACCTGCTAGTGCTAAGCGAGATTGGACACTTGGACAATGTCGGTAAAGGCACACCAACCATGTCTGCAAGAACACATTGACGCAAAATAGAAATACTCGCAGAGATTGTTTAAAAGTAGACTTGCAGCTTACATACATGTAGGCTTGAGCATCTTCTATGCCAGTACATCTACAATAAAGCACCGCAATGTCATTCGTATCTTGTAATGTAGCCTGTTTCAAAATTGTAAAGCCTGATTTTCAACATGGACGATAGGCGCCACAAGCTTAATTTTTAGTTCACATTCATGGAAATACCTGATCAGAATACAAGCATACACCCAACAACAACCTGAACAGGAATATACCATGCTTTCATACGCAATTTCAGATGCATAACTGTCCTACCAAAGATTCAACTCAATTGGTTGTTGGTGTGAGGATGAATATCACCATCAACTTTCTAGGTAAACCTGAGTGTACAGTGGAGATTGGATATAAGGACACTCCTTCGGGAGAGAACAAAATGTCACTATATTCGATCTGTCACTAAACCCGATCTTCACAAAGGACGTACTAAACGACTTGGGCAACAGAATTGTGTCGTTAAACTCAATCTGTCGTTATATGCAAGGTAGATATATCCAATATCCACTGTTCTGCTATTTGCCAGTACACGTGTGGTATCTGCACTTGCAAGTCATCATGTATTGACTTTCCACACAGCGCATGCTTGCTGTGACTTTTCTTGTATTGTTGTTCTTCTGTTGACTGCTTTGTTCTTCTTCCGAAATCCTTTGAAAGCATATCAAACTTCCTTGTTCCGTGTTCTGACTGTGTATTGTATAAACTATACTAACATGGTTATCACATGAGACAGACTGATACAGTGTGCTGCTCGGAACTCACTGGGTGATGATCCCGACGGGAATAATCCGGTGAAGAACATCCGCTGAGCAGAAATCTGAAACACACAGGGCACGGTGACAAGACGCTGTTTTGTCTGCACGACAATGCAGAGCCAGTTATGGCCATGTCCTGATCCACCATCAGGAAAGAGTATTATGAACATTTTGACCATACAACTCTCCTTACAAACCACATATTTTCTGGATTATTGACGAAAGTATCACCAATGAAAGTGATGTGTGTAAGCGCTGGTATCCATAGGAAGGGGTCTACTCCAAGCCAAGCTAACTCCCACAATGTCACTGAATACAAGGCCAAACTTCAAATCCACCACAACGTAAACACAACAACAAGAAAAGTGTATTCATACTGACAAAGACTGAAGGAACACGCTTGATAGCAATGCTTCCAAGAAATTTTCCCTTCTTCCCTTCACCAGCAGTGATTGTAAAGGGATGGTGGGAGCCTATGCACTGTCATCTCAGTTGTGGCCCAGCACATCACATGTACATACCTGTGACGTCAGCAAAGTGTGTGCTATCTCTCTGTGCAGTTCCAGGCACTCAATCTCGGTCTTGTAGCAGCGCAGGAACCAGTTGGCCTCCAGAACATGCCTGGGTTGCTGGTAGATAATGTCTACGATGACCTGTAAGGTAAAGATGAGGAGAGAGGGGAACAGAGAGCGAGGCACATTGAGAACGGAGCTCACCCGCCGGGATTACATGGCAATGTTCACACAATGCATGGACAATCTCGCCACAAAGTAGCGGCATCTGTCATGCTTCAATGGCAGTCGTTCCACAACAGTTCTCAGTCGTTCTACAACAGTTCAATAGGAAATGGTGCTTGTCAAACGAATCCAATTGAGTCAGACTGAAACTGTGAAAGGTGAATACGGCACGCACAGTTAGCAGACACTCGGAGGAGTAGCACGATTAACTAACCTGTGCCAGCCGTTCTTTCTCCTGTTGATCATATACATTGTGATACGCCTCCAGATAGCAGTCCAGCAACTGTGCATGTGGCATGACCAGGGACAACAAGACACAGCATACAGTCTGGAAATAGAAGTCTGCCAAAGAATCTCAACTGATGATGTAATCATAACCTCTGATGATGTAATCACATAACCTCTGATGATGTAATCGCAACCTCTGACGATGTAATCACATAACATCTGATGATGTAATCAGTGCTAATCACATAACCTCGCAGCCCGAAAGCCTTAGACGACTGTCTAGTCACATAACCCCTATAGAACATGCCACGCCACTCAACGTACCGCATGCTTGCGCTCCATGAATCTGACGTGACAGTTCCACAGGTCCAGCAGAACAGCAAAGCGATCCACAGCCTGTCCGCTGAGTGATGCCATATCAGATTCCTCCGGCTAGGCAAACACAAGAAAGATCAGAATATATCGTTGTCTGATGATTGGTTCAGCCATGAAACTCTAAGTCATAACGGAATTTGCCAAGGTTTTCATGGTGTGCCTTTGTGAAAAATCAGAATAGGCAGCAGGTCAGCAGTAGAGCTCACACACCCAGGCTACAATTACACACCACACATGGAACCCATCGATAACCAAAGATTTGAGAATTGCGTGCAAGCAGCTTGTAAATGAGTAGAAACAATGGATCATGCATGTACATTGTGTGTGATGAACATATAAGCTGAAGATCGGCCACAGGGCACACAATACAAGCCTGTTACACCATCATTGAGCATGAAAATCCTAGTAAGCCGCGTCCTGTGCAACCTTAAAATAACCATAATGCATGGCGAAAACAAAACTCACCAGGAATGCGAATCGTCTCGCATCGTCGGCAGTCGCAGCCGCACTGGAGTGGTGCTTTACTAGGTAGTAACTACCTACCAAGACCAAGTAGTCTTCTAGTTTTCTGCATACCAAACACCACCAGGGAGAGGTTTACTGAATATGGACTGCGAATGCATAGCACAAATACAAGACGATCAACTTCCTCACAAACCATGAAAGCAGTTTTGCCGTTTTTAGTCATTTGCTCCACGCAGCATCTGGCTGCATCCTCCGACAACCTTTTAAATCCAAGGTATTCTGAACGGGGCATCTGGAGCGCAATGCAGTGCCGTTGTCCACGCAGTCTGTGTTTTCGGTGCAGCAGGCTGGGTTCATGCATGCAGTCGAGTGTTGGCATACATGTACAGTGACCTAGGTGAATGTGTCTTAGCATACAGTAATAACATGGGTGAATGTGTCTTAGCATACAGTAATAACATGGGTGAATGTGTCTTAGCATACAGTAATAACATGGGTGAATGTGTCTTAGCATACATGTACAATACCATAGGTGAATGTGTCTTAGCATACATGTACGTGAATGTGTCAATACTTGAGGATAGGGTAACATTTGTGAATGGATCTTAGGGAACGTCGCAAAAGTTTTTTAGTCATCCCTGAAGCGAACATCACTCATGCCTGCGATTTTTGTCGTCCAGCATAGCAAGCTGCGTTCTTTTCAAAGGGGGAGGGGTCCGAGTACGAAACGAACGATGTTCAAAAAAACGTTTTGCGACGACCCCTTAGCGTATATGTAGGTGAATGTATCTTACTTGAGGTCGTCGACGGCAACGTCATACACGACATGGTACTTCCACTGGTCCTTGACCTGCACACGTCCACCTTCCACAACATGCCGGTCATCATGGTTTGATACCTGTAACAACAGCAGCAGCAGCAACAACAACAACAACAACAACAACAACAACAACAACAACAACAACAACAACAACAACAACAACAACAACAACAACAACAACAACAACAACAACAACAGCAACAGCAACAGCAGCAACAGCAACAGCAGCAGCAACAACAGCAACAGTAACAGCAACAGCAACAGCAGCAGCAGCAGCAACAGCAGCAGCAGCAACAGCAACAGCAGCAGCAGCAGCAGCAGCAGCAGCAGCAACAGCAGCAGCAGTAGCAGCAGCAGCAGCAGCAGCAGCAGCAGCAGCAGCAACAGCAACAGCAGCAGCAGCAACAGCAACAGCAGCAGCAACACATCAGGTTCAGTAACAAACAGCAGCAAAGTGATTTGCACTGGGTCAGTATCACAGGCTGTATTGCTAACCCCTTACAAAAATTACTCAATGCCACGAGCCGCAGAGCCAGGACACAAGTTAGCAATGGAATTAGGCTGAATTTAGGCTGATACTTGGAATTTCATGGTTATCCACCAATGCTTAGACAAGAAACAAACAGGGTCCGTCACATGTTGATACACAAAGTGTCTTCATGGATAAGGGGAAAGCCGTCCGTCACATGTTGATACACAGAGTTGCTTCATGGAGAAGGGGTAAGCCGGGCACATACACATACCTCTTGGATCTCCATGAATTCCTGGGCGCTAATCTGATAGTCTGATGGTTTCTCAAACACATACGCCTGGCTGCAGAAACAGAGCACAAACAACAATCGACGCTGTATAGGTTGTTGGATTTGTAACAGGCTGTTCACGGCACAATGATGCATTGGTAACAATGACATCATGCCTTTTTCTCGGTGGCTCCAAATTCTTGTCTCACTGTCTGCCATTCCGAGTAAAGTTGTAATAGACCTGGTCACCAGTCCAGCCACAGCAGCAATGTGTAAAGTTACATTTGACCGGCCCAGTTACAGCAGCACTGGACAGCTAGTGCACATACTGAGCTTTCCGACGATTTCCAGCAACAATGCACATTGTTGCGAGTGGACAAATAGAATGACTTGCTAAATGGCAGCTTGTACTCGGATAGTGAGCCAATTACACTCATAGATATTATAAGAAGAAGGACTCCAGTAGCTCGTAACTTTATTAGTTCCTAACTCGTAACATTTTTTTCCTTTCCAAGTTTCGGTGTATGCCTTTCGTGAGGTAGAATCCAGTAAGAAGAGTACAGTCCACAGAAACCCTCTCCCTCCCCCATCTCCATCCCTCCCTCACTTACGTTGTGCCCGCTTTCCCTGGCTGTTTGCCCTTAGCCAGGCCTGTCAGGCCGATAACCAGGCTGCGTTCCACAGAGCGAAAGTAGTTGAAAATGCTCAACGCCTGCAGGCGACACAAGGGAGAAAACAATAAACAAGGCAATCACCGCTCATATCTTTTCACTGGAATGTCGTTGTAAACATCATCCAATCCTAGGTCACACAGGTGTAGTCCAAGGATGCTGGGTCCAACGGGCACCAACACACCAGGGCACAACTAGGACCATGCATTTACGGCACGAGTGGTTTAGTCAGGAAAACTAATACTTTGGGAAAGTGTCAATAATGACCATACAGAACATCCGTACCAGAAACAAGGGATGATGTCCAGTGAAAGGGACTACGCCCAATGCCATGCCCTCCCAAGATCGCTACGCAGTGATGCAGGGGCCAGTGACTTTACATACGTGATACTGTGCGATGGTATCACATCAGTTGGAATTTCCGTGGCCTTACCAGCAGTAACTGTTCCAAAGGCTCAGAAGTGCAAAATCACACGTATGTTCTCACTCTCTCTTCCTTTCCCTGTCTATCAATCTATATTGTATGTATCTCTACCTCACCCATGCATTCACACTCACATGCGCAAACACAACCTGGCTTACCGTACGGCGCAAGTCGCGGATGCGCAGGTGTCGCAGCATGGTGAAGGCCGTGAAGCTGTCCAGGAGCTCCTCCGACTGCTGCTGATGTGAGCCAAACAGCGATTCCTGTTGCTCAGCCAACACTCTGCTAGCACTGTTGAAGTCAAACGAACTGGTCTGTATCTGTAAAAAAAGAGGAAAAGAAAGAAAGAAAAGAAGGTAGCTCAGTTCTGTTTCCTGTGAGTACATAGTCACACACAACCCACAGCTTAGAACTTCAGCTCTGGTTGATGTCGTGTGGAAGTATGCTAGTAACCAAACCATGGTGAGCACCTGCACTGAAATGGGGACGTCTCTACATTGCACAGTCTTACTGTCCTGTCAAATGTGCCACAGAATGCATCAGAATGATAAATTCCAATTTGTTGAAGTTGCATTGTCAACAGTGTGTACTAGCCTTTGCAAACGGATCCACTCCTTCCGCACCATGATCCACTTGCTTTGCGTCGTCTGGCAGATTCCGAGGTCGACCACTGCCAGCACGACTCTTGCCGCCATTAATTCGAAACGAGGGACTACAGTACGCACAAACAAACATAGCATACACGACAGCAGCAGGACCTGACAAAGTTCAACCATCGACAGCAGTAAATAGTAGGGAGAACAGATGATAACTTATAGCAACTCTTTTGAATGTGCTGCATGAGCAAGTTCTATCTGCCTTTATGCAGCACATCTTGGTCAGCTAGCTATTCCTCTTATTTGTGAAGGACACAGTGTGCGGTACAGTAGATGATAATAGCCGGCTATCCAACCTCTTCTGACACCCAAAAACACCATGTATGTGAAGACGTGTTCTCCCTTGCGAAATATACACAATCATGCTCATATCACATGTGCACGCGAGACAAGAGACAGCTTGGGGAATGTCGTCACACGGAAAGCAACATCATTCTTCAAACAGGGGATGTCCCCTGGGCACGGATCGGATACAGGTCGTCCCCCGTTAATAAGAGTCCGGTTAGTACATAAACCCCGTAAGTACATAAGAAATCTCAAGTCCCGGACAAAACGTGGTCATTTCCATACAAATTTTGTCGGTTAGTACATAATTCGTTAGTACATAACATTTCTCCATACCCCCATGCTACCTACCTCAGTAGTACATAATTTGTTGGTCCTTTGGCCTTCCAGTGGAGGCACATCGTGTTCTAGTTTCTACTTGTGGACGCAATTAGCTCAGAAATCAGAGCGCACATGACAAACCGACAAAGCTCTGCTTTTTTCCGAGTGACTGTATGGGCACGGCTAGGCATGTGTCATGTGAACTGTAGAATCTTCGCCGACTGTGACCATTATAACATAACTTTTTATGTTATATCGAGGGAATCAAGAATATCTCCCTCCCTAGTCATGGTAGCAAGAAACACTCAGAAAAGTTGAAAAAAGTGAAAAATGCGGGTACACAAGCAAGTTATGTACACTTTCGTTTAGTACATAAACCCTGTTAATACATAACATTTGTCAAGTCCCAGAGATTATGTATTAACGAGGGACGACCTGTAGTTGGACGGCCAGTACTCGGTACATTCAGGGGGTACTGACAGACAGTTGATATCAGACGCAGTTTCATGTTGATCCTGTGTGTCATGGCTGAGGCATACCGATAACCTCCACAGCCACAATATTGTGCGGATCTCCTCCACTCGCACTTGCAGCGTAGCGGAGACATGGACTTAACAATCAAGCACTGGATTTCACATGCACCTCTTAATTCCTATTGGCTAAACACTAAACACTGGGCAGAGAGAACTAAACATGCACTAGACTTCCAAACTCTTAGTCTCTTTGGGCTAAAATCTGTATAGGGTTAAGTGAACTCACTCAAACGGATCAACGCCTTTCAAGATCTGCTCCCACATCTGCGTTAGAGCCGGAACGTGGTCATCTCGTTTTGTGCTACGGTACTGAGTGGTTGACGGTCTGGATAGAGAGGAGAGTGGCGGTGGCTTGCGACTCGTGGCAACGTGACGTTTCAGAGAGTAAATGACCTTTTCAGCGTGATGCAGCTGACAAGCATCCATTGACAGCCGTAGTAACTGGTAAAGAGTGACAGATGGCACAAGACATGACACAGTCGTCTTGCTATCAAAACCTCCCTGTTCCATTCTTTCCAATGTTTTCTTCTCTTATTTGTTTGTACCTTTGCCATAGTTGGGTATCGCCCTCATCTCTGAGGTTGCTCCCCACAGTATTATTAGCACTGCTTGCATAATTATGAAGTGAATGGGATTTCAGTCTGTGACCAATTTGTGGTGTGTCTGATCTGCTCACCTCCCACCGCTTACGAGCTGCATCTGCACTTTGATCCAAGAGGGTGGTGGCGTTCCTACGGATGCGGAAAACGGGCCGAGTCTCACGCGAATTTTTTTGTTTTGTTTTGCATACTAGTAGTTATGCTTTGAGACTGCGTGGAGTAAGTAAATAAAAAAAACCCTGCTAGCAGCTTGGAGGTTGCAAGTGCATCAATGACACATTTTCTACACAGGCTGGCTATGAAGTTTGAGGGAGTTGTGGACAAACTCTTTGACTAGAGCGCTGCAAAGCTCTGAAGTGACAAGGCACACACATGACTGGTAGAGATTATACAGGCATTGCCAGGGGCGGATCCAGGGGGGGGTTCGGGGGGTTCGAACGACCCCCCTGATTTTTTCCGACCATAGTTCGGGTGTGACCACGAACCCATGCCTGTGCGACGTGCTCGCCTCATGCTATGGCCTGCAGGCCAGAGCGGTCCGCTAGCTATGCAGCTTGGTAGATCTATGACTTTATCACTCCCTTAGCATTGACTCACATAGATTTTTGCCATACCTAAGCAGTCAAATATTCCTGCATATTTCACTCCTTAGGGCTATATTGACCGCTTACACTGACCGCTTATATTTGACTCCTTTTTAGCGATTGAACACATGCTTTGGTCAGTCGTGATAAATCTAATATTGACTTCGTACTTGGTCAGCATAGGAAATAAAAGACCTCGTAAAAGACCTCGGCTTCGCCTCGGTCTTTTACTCGGCTTTTATTTCCTATATTGACCTCGTACTCAGTCAATATTAGATACATAATATTATTATTATGACAATATAGTCATTGAACATTGTTGTCTTGTGCGTAGCTGTAGATAATACAGCGGAGACTAAAGTAGATCTGCACTGAATATAGATCTACAGCTACGCGTTCGCTTCGGAGAAAGAGGTGCATGCATTTGTTGAGCTGCTGCGGAAACTTCGAAAGTAAGTATTAGTTTCAAAAACTAGATCCTGAATAGTGGCTGTGCAGTGCTGTAATTGTCGTCACGGCTCGTGCTTTTTGAGGTGTTTTAGAGTTCGTCGAAGCGTCGAAAAGAGGCAGGATCAAGACCAGCTGCCATTGAATTTTGGTGACACTCCAAAGACAAGTGTAGCCACTAGTTTCGAAGGTAAAACAAAGAGCGAAACTTTGAAAATCACCTTCAAGTTCAACGTCCTATCATCCAATAATCAAAATTTCTCCGAACTGGGACAATTATGACTGAGACACGAAAGATGCAGGAAGCCTGCCTTATGGAACCTACTGTACAGTGGAGTCACCATCGGGCGGCTCGGAGTACAAAATTATGGACAATCATTACATACAAGCTACTGGAATCGGAAAGTACCAATTAGCTATTCTGCAGTAAAGAAATTTGAAAATTTCTTCCTTGTGCTGCGTGTCTTCAATAATGTTTTAGCTGCAGACTGTTGAAAACAGGGGTACTGAAGTTGCATTGTGATACTAGCTGGCATGTTCAAGTACCGGTATTATTTGGTGCTGTACCCATAACGCGAACGTGTGAACTATTACTTGTTATACAATCATGTACATGTGTATGTCATGGTAATCATGCAGTTTAGGGTCCCAAATTATTTCGCACTTTCCCAGTACAGTGTTCAGTGTACTGTCACACGCTTTTTCAGTGTACTTTCACATGCTTTCCGACCCTTGAACCTTGAACAACCAAGATCAACAACACAGTCAGTATCATGAATTTTTATTTTCATGAAAACCGAGGACAGATCAGACTGGGTACTGCTGGTGAACACTGCGGAGCAGGGAGCCGAACGTGTTGTCTTCCGCGCGAACTCTCTGTCTCCACACGAATTCGCAGAGGTACGTCGGGAACAACTCTCGTGATGTGCCGAAGTTGCGCTTCAGCTGGGGCTTGGCCCGCATCCACATGTTTTCCACGTTGTTGGTGTGGATCGTTCGGTCGTCCGGATCAACAAAGTTGTCCTCGTGGACAACGACATCGTGCTGGGGTAATCATGCAGTTGTTCCCGACGTACCTCTGCGAGTTCGTGTGGAGACAGAGAGTTCGCGCGGAAGACAACACGTTCGGCTCCCTGCTCCGCAGTGTTCACCAGCAGTACCCAGTCTGATCTGTCCTCGGTTTTCATGAAAATAAAGTTCACGATACTGACTGTGTTGTTGATCTTGGTTGTTCAAGGTTCAAGGGTCGGAAAGCATGTGAAAGTACACTGAAAAAGCCTGTGACAGTACACTGAACACTGGGAAAAGGCATGTGACAGTACACTGAACACTGGGAAAGTGCGAAATAATTTGGGACCCTAAACGTTAAACTGCATGATTACCTATGTCATCATTTCGTCATTATGGGTAGGGTGGGAAAATATTGAACCCCCTTAGAAAAATCCTGGATCCGCTCCTGATTGCATGCATGCACCTCCCCCCCCCCTCCCTACACACACACACACACACACACACATGCACACACACGAGCGCATGCACGTGCACATACACACGCACACACACACACACACACACACACACACACACACACACACACATGCACACACACGAGCGCATGCACGTGCACATACACACCGCACACACACACACACATGCACACACACGAGCGCATGCACGTGCACATACACACGCACACACACACACACACACACACACACACACACACACACACATGCACACACACGAGCGCATGCACGTGCACATACACACGCACACACACACACACACCGGCGTGAGGCAGAGCCAGAAAAGGTACCTCATCAATTTTGGTATTGTTCCTTAGTTGGCTGACGACTTCTTCCTGAACAGGATCGACATACGGCCTGTGAGCAGACACAAACACACACACACACACACACACACAGAGCTAACATGAGAAGATCAGACCCACCACCAAACTGGTCAAACACCGAAAAAGGTACAAATGAAATTTTACAGTCATACTCACGCCAGCTTGCTTTCGTCTTGCCAGTTTGCCTCTTTCAACCAGACCCTGTTGCAGGAGGTGCGTGGCGTCTTGCCAGCATCCGCCGGCTTCTTGTCTTCCTGCAAACACAACACAGTCACGGAGACATTGACGAGGTGTGGGTGGGTAGGAGGCCAGGAGCGGTGCGCACCACACACGACAGTGTGCCTACATCATGCGTCCTAGTCTCGGGCAAGTAGTAGTCACGACTTCCTATCAAGCTGCAAATCTGGCGAATGCGATTTTGCCGAGACGTCAGAATTAATAAAAACGAATTTGATACTATTGCAGCACGCATGGGAAAGAGCGGGTTTTCGCTAAACTATTTCTTATGAATGAAGCTGTAGGAAGCCTCGCCACTGCTTCTTACCAAGTGTTCTGGAAATAGATAAACCTTGAACGTCATCTGCTTGCCCTGGCGCTCCATGGTCGTCTTAAACTTGTCGGAGACAAGCTTGAACATCTCCAGCTGATCAGACTTCTTCTCGTAGTTCCAGGACTAAGAAGTAAGACAACACAGAAAAGATGAATCTTCAACAACATTGACACAAAGTGCGCTGCCCGCATCACCTGAGGAAAGTGACTCATTCACAGTGACTCTGCGAAGGACACACAGACTGAGTTACTTGGTTTCTACCGCACAACCAGAGGAATCGTTATCAGAGAGGAGAAAACCTGACTCACACATTCAGAGGTGAGATAACTTTGTTCAGAAGTTCTATCAGTAGAATCATAGATATCAAACAAACACACCAGTAGTACGTGCGTATTAACGATACACAGAGGTAAGCACTACGCAAGGGATACGGACTACCCAAGGGATTAGAACTCACAGACTGAAGGCCGTATGTGGTCAGCAGTCTTGCCAGCACGGCGCGGTACGCACGTTCACAGTGCACATGCGGAGTGACATCGCCGTAGTCGTTGTACTCCTCCAGCGGACTGGAGAGACAGTACGGCTTGTCGCCAACCTCCGCAATTGACTCCTGTTGAATTGTTTCGGACTTTGGCCGCTGCAGAACTTTCGAAAGGAGTGGTAGGGGAAGCTTTGGCTTGGACGTGGAATTGGCAACATCAGTGAGATTAGGCACTGTGGCTCGGCGTTTCTGGAAAGCGATCTTCCACTGTACATTGGCACGTGGTGCCATCTGGGTACACAGACAGACAGCAATGGCACAACACTGGTATCAACATTATGAATACACACAGCTATGCATGTGAGCTACCTGCAGGTGACTAGGTACATACAGTGGTCTGTAGGGGTACTCTCCGCTAACGATAGCCTAGAAGTGATTATGTTGGCAACTTTGGTCAAGCGCAAGTGACAGTTGAAAGGAGCAGGGGAAACTTAGCACTATGCTACCACACCTCTCAGTGGTCATATAGGGTGCCTGGCAAACACACATACACACACGCACACACACACACACGCGCGCGCGCACACACACACACACACACACACACACACACACACACACACACACACATACGTACCGCTCTCAGCTTGGTAAGTTCATTGCGAGCGTCAGCCTCATTCTCCCAGGCGCTGACATCCATTACTGGCAAGAGTTGGTGGAGCACATGAAGGTTGCTATGCGGTAGCCATTTCAGTTGCTGAACACAAACAATTACCCCAACACAAGTATGAGAGTACATGTACATGTAAAATCAAACGTAAGCACAAAAATTTACACCATTTCTCTGTACTGCATTGATGAACCTACAATGGACCAACCATACTGTATCTAGATTGCGTACTAATAAGACGGTCCTACCATCTCTACTCACAGCTAGGAAGGCAGAGGGGTCTCTCCAGCTCTGCTCCGTCAAGACCAGGTGCCGCAGGTAGATGTTGACATCTTCGTCCTTGACCAGGCCCAGCCGTACAGGCTTACCAGCAAGGCAGGCATCGTGTGCACTAGCCAGGCGCTCTGCTCTCTGCACGCAGTCGTCATACTCCGTCATCACCATACTGCAGCAGAACGTGATCGAAGCACGCATACTCAAAGACCAGTGGAAAACGCAATGGAAGTGTGAGTGCTATGTCTTGCATTACGTCATGCTCATCCACGTATATACTAAAGTGAAAACTCGTTCAGAAGAACACTCAGGATAAAAGAAACTATCGCTATAGAAGAACTAGTACTCGTAACTCAATTGGGCAAAGAACTGTGTATTCATTGGGTATATAGTTTGGATAAGAAGAACTCCCGATATTGCGAACAAGTACCCTTGGTACGTTGGTGTTCGTCCTAAAGAGGTTTGACTGTATAGTACTTATAATATCATGACTCTGTGATGGGTATGTGTAATATCATGACTCTGTGATTTGTAGTCTTTTCTCTCATGTGCACATGCTTGTGAAATGGTCACGGCCGTTTCCTCGCGTAATGTCCGAGCGCGAGTGTCCGTCGGAATGTGAATGCGGGCAGGACAGTGAGCGTGCAATCAATGCCAGGGAACAGCCAAGAAAGATGTTGACTACCAAATGTTTGTTGTGCAGAGAGACTAACCTAACATTAGCACGACAACACCAGGATTAAACATGCCTTGCCTGTGCAACCACCATTCCGCCATGCTAGTAAATTGAGTACTCTATGCAATACATACACATTGACCCGTCAATTTCTTTCCACATATTGTGCAGAACGCTGAAAATACCCATCCGCACTTGCAGAACATGCATGCTATCCAATTCTCTAAACCGTGACACAGTAGAAGTGTGTACTGCATCAATATCTTCCGAATACCACGCAACAGTGTCCATAAATTATGAAATGGGAAAGGCTGAAAAGAGGCTAATTCACATCTCAGGTTGCAAGTGGTTTCGAATGGAGAAGACGAGCAACTACATTACGCTGACAAACCTAAGGTGTTGTTTGTAACGCTCGTAGAGTGCTGTAGTGCCCAGGCTGTTCACGTTCTGCTGCTTAGACCAGCGCTGCATGTACATCAGCCGAAGACGAACCAGCGACGCGATGCGGTCCACGAAAAACTGTATTGCATTGCACACACCGTCACATGGGCACGTAGCAACAAGAACACGGCACAGACACATACATGCACACATGTACAGAAGGACACACACACACACACACACACACACACATGTTTCAGCGTCCATGCATTCACATAAAGGCTGGAATTTTGACCTGCTGCAACAGACTACTACTTCTACAGACAAGGCACACCACACTGGATTTGCACAAGGCACAACACACTGGATTTCCATGTCTCCAATGCTCTTAAGCAGGGGCGTAGCAGCCGCTCCGGCCGGTCCGGCATTGGCCGGACCACTTTTTCGCCCAACCACGACCACCATAGTAAAACAATACCAAAAAGTGCCCAGAATGCAGGATTTTGCACCCTAATTTCAAAAAAATTCAGGGGGGAGATCCCCTGCACAGATCCACTGCACTGGTCCACTGCACCGGTCCACTGCACTGGTCCACTGCACCGGTCCACTGCACCGGTCCACTGCACTGGTCCACTGCACTGGTCCACTGCATTCCTACAGCAGAATTGTGCACTGGTGTTTCTAACAGCACCACACAGTCTCTATTCATTCAATGTAAGAAAATCAATGTCTACACGGCATATGCCTCCATTCCAGGCAGGAGTGCTAGTATCACGGCTGTCCCATGCATGCGACGCTCGTTCATTCAATATGGCGGCCAACTTTTAATCTTTTTCATTTTTTTTACGCAACCTTGCCTAGTCGTATGTTTGCAATTTCGCTTGACCTCCATCTCAAATGGGCAAGGTCAACCGAAACCACGGGTGTTTGCCAGGTCATTCGATAGAGTTTAGGGCTTGGACTGGTCTTGTCTTCGGCTGTGCCACCGCTCGACCGATTTTCTTGGGTCGCCCACGCGCTACGCATGGTTTCTTTCTCGACGTGGGTACAATTATTTTTGGATCGTCGCTCGATTTCAAGGCCTCGCCAACCTCGTCAGAGAATTTTCTCCACCTCGCAGGGAATTTTCTAGGATACCTCGATGTCCCAGCATTCGATTTAGTGTATTCCTAAGCTTGACGTGCACCACTCTAACTATTCGTGGCCAGTTAAGAGACATTATTTTGTTCAGAATTGGAGGCTCATGTTAACATCCTGTCTTTGTGTGTTGCATTGGAGGGGAGAAATTCGCGTCAAGGAGTGTACGGACCAAGTATCGTGTCGCAGATCATACTGAATCCATTTGGGCAGTATTTCACCTCAATGTGTCAAAAGATGAGCCAAATGTACACCCTGATCATTTTTGCCACACATGCAAATTGGTTATCGATCGCAGTGCTAGTGCTGTGGGCCCAACATTCGCTGGAGGTGGATGTGGACCGGTCAAGAAATGGGAGCCACATAGTGAGACAAAATGTTCAGTGTGCACACCTTCCAAACCAGGTAGGAAGCCGGAGCGCGCAACTCAAATGCAGGACGAACGTGCGGCATGGGAGAAAACCCCATCGCCCGCACGCACGAGCACGCCAACATCACCGACAGAAGCAGCACCAACAAACCCTCGCCCCACCACACCCAGTAAGCGACATGGATAGGACGGAGTCTGATATCCAGCAGCATGCCACACCCGCATATCAAGCTGGTAAACCTCTGCAGCCCGAACGGTTTATTGATCGGAACGTCGTTAAGCGAGCACAGTGTCCATTATGTCAGAATGTGATGGAGGGAGAAGTGCTTGCAGCTTGCTGTGAGAAAATGTTCTGCTGTGCATGCATTTGCAATTGGCTACAGCAGAAAGCCGCCTGTCCGAAATTCACAGCACCGATGCAAGCATCAGAGCTAGAGCAGCCAAACAACATAGTTTGTGGGTTCCTCCAAAACTTCACAGTCCACTATGAGCCAGCTATGGTAGGGTGCCCTGTCACAGTTGTGCTGCGCAGTCTTCAACAGCATGTGAGTGACTGCTTATTCAACCCTGCAACTCCAGCAATGCCTATTCGAGCAGTCAGTGCATCGTCCCTGGTCGGTGAAGTTCCTGCAGGCCTCACCATCAAGGATGCGAGGTGACATCGTTGATCTGCTTGCCGGTGCGATCGTCACAAACAAAACCCACTGCAGGACGACTAGAAGTCAAAACCAGCTCTAGAGGTAGACCCCCAGGTATACCATACTCAATGGTGGAGAGAGAGAGGCCTGCGTGCCCAGGAAGCAGCTGGCATAAAGCGTTTATCAATAGCCGAGCAAGAGAGCTTGCTCCGAGAAATAGGCCTGCACTACTCGGCTGGATATAGCTCTGACAATGATAGCTAATCTTCAGCTTTCATACAACAAATTCCGATTGTTGCGTGCGTCTATGGCTGAAGTCCATGGGTGTCGAGCTGGCATCAGAAAGGAAGATGAGATCGTTAACAGCCACCCAAGTCCCACAGTACAGTGTGAAACACATTCCAATGATGAAGCAAAGTGGAGACATTGTCATGGCTGCTACTATATATCTGCCCGATCTCATCAGTATCGTCACATTCTTCCCTGACTAAGTTAACCCTTTATTACCGGCCTGCAGACTTTCGATCATATATGATCGAAACTCTATAGGCCAGTAATACCTTCGTAACTCCATTATTCTTGTGCGAATTCAACAATCGAAAGGTCTATTTGGTAGCAGAAACTCCAAGCTATCCAATGCAACAATCGCCGAAGAGTTACGATGTCGGACCCCAGAGATATCGCGTGCCGTATTCTCATCTCGGCAAATTCAAATTTTTGGTCGATCACTTCGCCATTTTTGGGGGAAATCCCTTTTCGTGTGCTCTTTGAGCGACTAAGCACATGATAATGACGTAGTCGGCTGAAGTTTGAATCGTCTCAAACAAATTTGAGCGTTCTGCGATGAAGGAGAGTGGAATGGCATTGATGGGACGAATTTGCTTGCATATCAGGCTTGGAGACGACTTTGCTGTGTTACCGCGCCGGATTTGTGGCGACTGGATGATGGAGCTTGGTACCCTGGCGTTGCTCTCGCCAAGAGCTTTCCAACGAGCCCTAGGTTGTGAAAATCAAGTGAAGGAGACAAAAGTTATGACCTGGTGAAGTTGGAAATTGTGCTGAAATTCGTAATTCTGGTGCATGCTGTGCAAGTAATCCGGTAATAAAGGGTTAAAGAGCGCGGATAGGCTCATATGGAGCAATGGCATACCTGAGGCAGAAGTATGGATAAAGGTCGGCGGTGACCATGGCGGTGGCACATTTAAGCTCAGCTTTCAGGTAAGAATTTATCATTAGTATCAACCAGCATTATTATATTACGATTGCGAAAACAAATTGCAGATTACAATGTGGCAACTGCTAGAGGTAACGTTACATGGATCTCAGTATGATGTCATGTCAACATTGTGTTGTTGCTGTGGTGTCAAATTATGCCGTGCACAGGTCGCTAACATCTTGCATCCAAACACTGTAAAGAACACTGTTCCCATATGCATCTTCAACGAAAAGGATACTCCCGGGAATCTGCACGCAGCGTTTATGTATAACAGTTAAGGACCAGATAAGTGAGCTGATGGGTATGGCCTGGCAGGATAAGCGCCTGCGTGTTTTTCTCTTCGGAGATTACGAATTTCAACGTAGCAATTATGGCTTGTCAGGCCCGAGTGGTGCCAGGCCATGCCAGCATTGCCATTGTTTGAAAAAGTCGATGGCCGAGGATCCTAGTCGTCAGCCAGAGGAGGGCAAAGAACCAAGAACACTGATAACACTGTGTTCACGAGGCTCTCCTTGACTATACATTAGATAGTGTGTCTGGGCACGGACTATTGGATGCATTGTTCTGTGCATGTATGGTACTTTAGGTAACTGCAGGCTAGACGAGCCATACCGATTCTATGTGCATGCCCTACAGCATTATGGCGCTTTGCTGGTTTGTATTCATCCATTTTCACGGTACTTAGACATTTGAGGTAGACGTGTAGGCGCCTTTCCATAGATCATGTCAATAGACTAGTAGTGGGCACGCCAGACACTTTGTGGCATCGCCGGTGTTTCAGTATTGTCAGTTTGCACCTATGTGGTCGCAGTTCTATCGCGACAAGCTGTGCATTTGCCTCTAGGCAATTCACCTTTCCTTAGCTACGCTGCAGTTGTGCTGCGATATTCATCTATAGCATAATATTGGTCTGTGTGATCGAATCCATGTGTTCAATGCATTCTAGGTTGCTAACATAACAAACCAGACCAGACACGGTATGGACTCATGATTGTATGTAGGTGTGAACAAGTTAGTTTCTGGCAATGTTGTGGTGTTTGGTTTCCGCCCAACATTGTCGATCTGCATGTTTGCACTAGCGTGCAGCTGAACCAACGCAGCCGAACCAACGTGCCTTGCAATGCTTTGCTAGGCTTTTCTTTCACTGTATCTTTTTGGTCACATATAATACCGTACACTTTGCTTTTACTCACTATAGCACGTTTGCGTTTTGGTTATATCGAAGAACCCAGTGTGTAGTTACGATCCATCACAGTTTCAATGTTTATGGACTAGCGTGGTGTAGTCCTGCGGAACATTAATGGTAGCAGCGGATGGTTTATCGCGTTTCGTAGAAGTTGATTACAGAGAGAACTGTAGTCATGAGCACGTCCGATACCGAAAATCGGAGCACTGCAGGCATGGAGGATGCGGAGCAGGAGGTGGCATCGCAAGCGTCTGGTACGTCACTTTCGGATAGTGAACCAGAGGCGGTCGCCCTGGACTCAGGCAAACTCAGAGCGCTGAAAGTGCAAGTGAAGTCGGACTTCACCAACGCGAGAAGGACCCTGATCGTCGATCTCCGTCGGGTCAGTTCCGGTGAGTTGTCATTTGATCAGGTAGCAAGCTCACCCGTGTTGACTGAGTGTTACGAACGAGCTGCATCCGTAATTGCCGAGCTCGTTAGTGTTTACACCACGGAGGATAACAATAGTCAGGCAGAGAAGATGTTGAGAGAACTTGAGAAGTTGCAAGAAGAATATGCAGAGGCATCGGCCATGATTGTTGAGTATGGCAGAGGCGCAGTAGAAGACCCTGTCCCTAGATCTAGGAGGCTGTATGCAGCACCTCACGATAGTTCGCATGACGAAAGGTCAATTCAGTTTCAAGATAGTAGATACGACGCACGCACACGTGGGGCTAGCCCGTATTTACCGTTACAGAGACGATCGCTGAACTCGCGTCAGCTTTCGCAGAGCCTGAGTGATTTATCCATTCAGGGACCCCGAGATGCCGTGAACGTAGCTGCCGCCATTCACGAGGAGCACCACGCACCAGTTCAGGGATGGCCGCAAGCTAGTGATGAAAGGCGAACGCCAACCGGCCTGAGCGCGGATGGGGGAGATCAAACGAAAGAAATCCAAATCTCCTCAGAGCACGAACAGCAGTCTCAGAGAGAAGTCCCGCAGGTCACGCAGACAGCAGTGGCAGCTCCGCCACCCGCCACGAGTTCGTGTGTCGTACCGCAAACCTCGTCAGTTGCAGGACTCGTGGTGGCGCCGACCGCCTCAAGTGCAACATCCGCTACGAAGACGCAAGCTCCGCGCCAACCACGCGGTGCAGCAGAAGTCACAACACGTGCGACCGCGAGCACTTCGTATAGTGCACAATCTAGCAGTGCAAGTCGGCCTGCCGCGGGCAGGCAGCATCAGGCAAGTCAGGGCATCGCAGCCCACGCATCGCAGGCATCGAAAGTGAGGTCGACGCATTCACAGCCTGCCACTCGGCAGCACTTGACCAGTGCAAGTGCATTTTCTATGCCAAGGATCTACCCTACCCCTAGTGCGAATCCTGCATCTGCTAGTGCAAGCTACATATACAGCAGTAGTAGTTATGGTGCTAACAGCTACAGTGCCATGCCAAGTATGCAATTCAGTAGTCCCAACCAGTATGGAACACAGCAACCTATGTGGACAGGCAACAACATCACGCAGCCTAGCTATGCAACCTATAGCAACGTCCCACAAATGGTCGCACAGACACCAAGCATGACAACTCAGCATGGTCTAGCCTTACCTGCTGCAGAGTCCACCACCATGCCACAACCGCAGAGTGCACTGACGGCACCTCACCAACCGGAACCATGGCGTCAGCTGAAGCAGATCGGCATTCCGACATTCAACGGCGACAAAAGAAAATTCGAGTCTTGGCGTGCGGCGTTCATGGCATGCATAGACGCATCTCCGGCAGCACCAGAGTACAAGCTACTGCAACTCAGGCAGTACCTAGTCGGCGACCCACTGGACTCCATCGATAGCTTAGGCTATTCCCCTGCTGCGTACGAGGCCGCCAAAGCGCTACTGGTCAGGAAGTATGGCGGAGAACGCAGGCGTGTCGCGATCCACGTAGAAGAAATCGAGCAGTTCGGTAAGGTTGGCTACAACAGAGCGTCCGAGTTCGAGAAATTCACGGAGCTCCTCGAGGTAGTAGTCATCAACCTGAAAGACAGCGGCCGGGCCGCAGAACTGGAGGCTGGTACGTTCTACCAGAAGCTCCTCCGTAAGTTCGACGAACGTGTGCTTGCACAGTACCATCGATGGCGGTATGATCGGCAAGTAGAAGAGTCCGTCGAAGCCCTGCTCGAATGGGCACGAGTAGAATCAGAGCTAATGATGATCTCGGCAGAAACGGTGAGCGGCGTAGCAGTAAAAACCACGCCCCAACAGCAGCAACCACCCCGAGATAACCGGTTCCAGAGGCGTAGTGCTCCGCCTAGTCGCAACCACGCATATCATGCTCAACAGAAGAGCGACGTCAACTGTGCAGTATGCAAAGGCGCACATCCCCTGTGGAAGTGTGCGGCATTTAAGGTCATGTCGGTCAATCAGCGTTGGCGGCTCGCCAAGCAGAGCAACGCGTGCTTCCGGTGCTTGGGCAGTGGCCATGCTGGCAAGGACTGCCCCCGTGATCGTGAGTGCCCGGTTAGTGGATGCATCAAACATCACCACCCGCTGCTCCATGGCAGCAATGTTACCGGCGGCGCACAGCCAACTCCGGAAGCTGAGAAGCCCGTACCCCAGACATCACTGGTCACGACTGTCACAGAGGGGGAGCCAGAAGCAGCGACACATGTGGCACAAGGGCGCCGGACGGACCGTGTAGCTCTACGGACAATCCCGGTGACACTGTGCAACGGTCAGCAGTCAGTGACTGTCAACGCTTTGCTGGACGATGCCAGCACTGTGACGTATGTGCACACTAGTATCGCCACTCGACTCGGTTTGAGTGGCAAACGCCAACGGACGACGGTCAGCACGCTCAATGGCAAACTGGAGACGTTCGAGACTATGCCAGTAGACATCGAGCTGAGGAGTGTTGATGGCAACTTGAAGCAGACGATCACGGCGTACACCACCGACAAATCCGTGACTGGCGACCTTCGCGCAGTCGACTGGCTAGAAGAGGCTAGTAACTACCCGCACCTGAGGGAGATTCCGTTCCCAGCGGTGGGAGAACACGACACTGTAGATATGCTGATCGGCAGTGACCAAGTCCAGCTGCACGTATCGACGCGTGACGTCATTGGTGAACCTGGGCAACCTGTCGCTAGGTTAACACCGCTCGGATGGACCTGCGTAGGGAAGCTCAGAGCACCCAACTCCAAGCAGACGCAGGGCCCACAGCCCAACCGTTCGTACTACGTCGGTGGAGACAAGTCAATTGCAGGAGTCGAGCAAGCCCTGCAACAGTTCTGGAAGGTCGACAGCTGTGGCGTCGAGACGGACAATGCGGCTCCAGGACCAACATCGGCAGACGAGGCCGCAGCGGTGAAATTAGTGGAAGACTCCACGCGGCTAGTAGACGGCCGGTATGAAGTATCGATACCATGGAACAGTCGTAAGGCGGAGTTAGTCAACAACGTTGATATGGCGACTAAGCGGCTGGAGTCAACACGTCGACGACTGCAACGTGAACCGCAAGTAGCCCGAGCATACGCCAGAGTGATCCAAGATTACCTCGAGAAAGGATACATCACCGACGTCACTGACGAAGCGCCTACCGACCAATGCTGGTATCTGCCACACTTCGCCATTGTGCGGCCACAGAAGACGACAACTAAGGTCCGGATTGTGTTTGACGCAGCCGCCTCCTACCACGGCATCTCACTTAACGACGCCATCCACGCCGGCCCGAAGTTGCAGCGAGACCTTTGCGATGTTCTCACCCGGTTCCGAAGAAAGCCCATCGCCGTTGCCTGCGACGTAGCAGAGATGTATCTGCAAGTTTCAATACGCCCCGAGGACAGGCCGTACCACCGCTTTTTGTGGCAGGACCCGGCCTCCGATGGTCCGGTCAAGAAGTACCAGTTCAACCGCTTAGTCTTCGGTGTAAACACGTCGCCATTCTTGGCTCAGTATGTCGCCCGCCAAGTCGCGGACGCAAGCGTCGATACCCCA